ACATAAATTTCAACCTCAACATCCTGCCATAATTATTCAACCAGAACAATTTATTAATAGAGTAAAAAAATCTCTTGATGAAATAGATTCTCATTTCTTTAATTTAGATTCTTATAGTAGCACAAATGGTACATATAATATTCCAAATGTAAGGACATACGAATGCTTTCATTGTAGATTCCATTCTGCTATACATAAGGAACTTTATCTGCATAACAGAAAAATGCATCAAAAGACAATTTTAATTTGTATTATGTGTAAATCCACTTTTTATAGTTATAGTGAATTACTTTGTCACTTATGTCCTGGTACATACTCTCCAAATATTAATGTCAGATACAGATGTTGTCTTTGTCCTATGGCAAATCTTCCATCTGCATTTAGATTAATGGTACATTTACGCAAAAGACATCATGCATGTGATGTTTGCTTAGAATCTACTGGAAATCAACAGCGTCTTTCCAACCATGTATGGAAACATAAACTTCATCATTTATGCTATAGATGTGGTATTGCATATAGAAACAAACCAGATATCACAAAACATTTATTTTGGAAGCATGGAACAGAAAGTGTATTATGTAAAAAGTGTTTACAAAAAAAGTGGCCACATATTTATCACTTTTGTATACCACCTACAGCTTTTGTTTGTGAAGAATGTGGTTCTAGTTTTTCACGAGCTGTCGCATTGAAAGTGCATAAAAGATTACATTCCGGAGATCATCCGTATGCTTGTAGCGAATGCTCCGAGCGTTTCATTTCTCGAAAATTGTTGACCAAACATGAAAATGCTCATAAAGAACCACCACCAATTAGTACAAATTTGACGGAAACAATAAATCAACAACCAACGAATAATGAAGAAAAATTAGACAAAGAAAAATTAGGTATAAATGATGGCAATACAAATGCTTCTGAGTCAGCGAAAGAAACTAAAGAACCTGTGAAGAAGGTTGTTGATGTTTACGATCTACCACCATTGAACTTATCTTCTGAAAGTGATACAGATTCTGAAGAAGAAAAGCAAGAGACTAAAGAATCTGACAACACTGAAAAATTGAAACCAACCGAAGAAAATGCAATATCTTCTACAGATCAGTCAAAAATCGTGACTTCTGAACCTGTTGCAGACAGTATAGTAGAGGTTGAACAAAATGAAGAAGAGAAGAAACAAGGGGCGGAAATCATGGATGGTATCTGGGATAATTTTAAAACGTATGCAGCTAGTTTAGAAATGAAAGAATCAACCAATAATTTTGCGATCAAAGAACAAGAGCCAGAGACCGACGTAGCGTTTCTAAGGAGTATAGTGTTGGCCGATCATGATTATTGTGTCGTATGGTCGGATAAGGAAAAGGAAAAAGATGCAGCGTCAAAAGCAAATGTCAAAGAAGAAGCAAACTTAAGCGGGGACCAAGATTATTTAAACAAGATGCAAACAAGTCCATTGGACAGTAACGGGATACAAAATGCTAACGAAGACGATCCGAATAAGAAAAAAGCAAAAAGTCCGAAGAAAAAGAAACAAGGTGGAAGTACGTCATCGAGCGATTCATCTAGCGACAGTGATTCGAGCAGCTGTTCCTGCGGGACAAACTGTAGCTGTAGTAGTTCATCTTCCGGCAGTTCTTCTAGTTCTAGCAGTAGTTCTGACTCGGATAGCTCTACTTCGGAAGGTTCTCCGAAAAAGCAATCTAAACGGAAAAAGGAAAAAGAAGGTACGCAAGAGGTGGAAACCGGATACACTGAGCTTGAGAACAAGGAAGTTTCTCCAGATAAGAATGGATCGACGTCGGTTCCCGCAGAGCCAGTTTGTCCGCCACAACTTTTATTGAGAGAATCTGATTTAGAAACCGAAGAAACGGAAACGGACGAGGACTTTTACGACGAGCATCCGCAACAACTTGCGAATAAATTACTCGCGGAGAAACGAAATCAATTAATGCTTCTTGCTGCAGTTGCTCCAGCTTCTACGGAATCAACGATGCCGTTGAATAATGGTTTAACGGATACGGATATTACGGTCCCCTCCCCGGACAGGATACCCGCCGCCACGGAGGAAGATCAATCCCAACAAAAGAAGAAAGTAAAAACAAAAAAACGAAAGAAAGGGGAAAAGGCAAAACAACGTAATGCGACGCCAACTGTCGAATCCATTAAATTAAACATTCCTAAAGCTTTTTACCAAAATAATCCGGGCTATTCGGCTTCTTCGCCAGCGTTGATGCAATCAAATATAACGTCAAATATGTCTACGAACGATGTGCATGCTATAAATGCAGGTGTCGAATCTCAAGCGGGGATAATAGGGCAAAATATGGGTGGAAGTGGTTCGGAAGCAGAGAGCAAGCGATCGTCGAAGCGGAAACGAATACCAAAACGATTTTACGGCGATTCCAGCGACGACGAAGTAGAAAAACAACCCACGGTAAAGTGGAGAAAAGTAGACACACCTTCTTTCACACCGGTATCGACCGTAAAAACATTACCACCGAGATTGCCTTTTGGCGGGAAGAATATGGCTTACCGACCGATGGAAAATCAGCCAGAGAATGTAGGAGTTACTACCGCTTCTCCTACCGAATCGGAAGAGCCCGCGGATAGTAGCAGTGATTCCAGTGATTCTGAAATAGAATCCAGTCAACAGATGCAGACTCATTTGACGGAAAATAACCCACCAGCACCAGAGCGACCGGTTAATTTGTATTGTTATTGTCAGTGTCCGTACGACGAAGTGTCAGAAATGATAGCCTGTGATGCCGAGGACTGTCGTATCGAATGGTTTCACTTCGAATGTGTCGGTATTATGGTGCCACCGAAGGGCAAGTGGTATTGTCCAGACTGTCGGAAGAAACATGGAATCGTGCAAAACGAGGACTATTTTGACTGATAGCAGCGGGTCGTGTCTGCGTGTTGAAATTTCTGTCTAGGCATTTTTTGACAATGGATATTCAATTTTCTCTCTCTTACATACATATATTTGGCATCTATCTATCTATTCATCTATCATCTATCTATTTATCTATCTAGCTATCTATATCTCTCTATCTTTTAAAACTTTTTTAAGTAACTTAACGAGGATATGTTCGAGAATCGCTTCGAATATCGTTCAAAGTGTAAAATATTGTTTTATGGTCTTTTATTTAATGGTTTGACGAATTCTAGAGACTTGAAACGTTCCAATATTGCAATTTTTTTAAGATTAAAATTAAAAATATTAGGGTTTAAGGTTAACCCGCAGTGGAGGAATATATAAGGAATATATGATATATCATTGAAATATTGAATTTGTATTAAATGTCTTTCTATGCGAACAAATAGTCATAGCAATTACGTTATTTCTAATTGGAGTTAAAAATATTTATAAGAAAAATTATTGAATAATCATGTAAATGAAATACATTATTTATGAATTAAAAAGAAATCTTCTTTGAACAGATTAAAATCTTAGAATAAGTTTAAATTTTCTTATTATAATTGACTATTATAATATTTTAATAGAAAACAAAAAATTGAAAATTTTGTAAAATTAACATTCATGTTATTATGTACACACTTTTTTTTTATATATACATATATATATATACATACATACATATATATATATATATATATTATTTTCCATCATGAATTTGAAGTTTGCAGAAAATTAAAAGTGTCAACTTCAACTTCGTTAACCAATCATTAACCATTTTACTAAAACATCATCTATGATTATTGATTTAAATTTATTTAAAAATAATTATTTAAATAATTCTTAAATATCTTCTCTAAATTTTTTTTTAATAGTTAAATATTCTTTTAATATTCAATAAATTAATTAATTATTTCATCCTTGCTATGACTTTGTAAGTATCTAGATACAAAAAATAATCACAGATTGCACATAAATAATTTTCAAGTCTCTTAAAAGGCATTATTTTTCAAATATTTTTAGAATTGCTTATCGCTTTTCAAAATATTTATAAAAATTGTTGCACGGTTAAGAGTAATTTTAATAGCAATAATCTTTGATTATATATTCGAATTGACAGGAAAAAAAATTCTAGCAGAAGTGGGAGAGAATTGAGTAGCCATCGCTATTCTTAGCGTTTTCTTTCTTTCTTCTTGGTAAACAAATGAATCATACATACTGTTTCACATTGATATTTTTCTTAAGCCGATACAACAACAACAACAATAAATAATAATAATAATAATAATAATAATAATAATAACAAAAAAAAAAAGAAATGTTTGTATATAACTTGTAAATATGCCTTAGAGTTTATAACAATGAAATAAGGTTTTTTGTGTACATTTGTTTGTACTTCTTTTAAATGACAAAACATGCGCGGTGTATAAATTTAGTGTAGCCAATAGGCAAAATATAGCATTATTATAGAGCGAAATTTTCTAGGCCACGTCGTAGAATTCTTTAAGCCTAGTATGTGAGGGGAGGGCTGTGTTTTTTTTTCATCATTTTCGGAATCGTTATGTCGCGGCTAATAGGACTGTCGGCACTGCTGGCGGTGTCTATGCCTCTTGTAAGACGATCACTTCTTTTTTCTTTCTTTTTTTTTTTCTTCTCTTTCTCGACGACCCACCATTCTGTTCATAATCGTCTCGAGATATGTACGTGTATTTCTTTGCATTGTATTCGTTTAACCATCTTTGTTCATTTTCTTTGTTTTACCCTTTATTTCTCTTTTTCTAAATTGTCTGAATTTTCTAAAATTTTTATAATTATACTACACATACGTTATAAAATGTATTCATTTATTAATTTCTAATTTTTTTATAATCATCAGTGGAAAAATAAATTTTCCAATTTCTATCGTTTTTCGTTTTATATATATATATATATTATATATATATATATAAATGCATTTTAGTTATAATGAATCGGTTGATATTTTATCGTTTCTCTAGTCTAGTTCTTACTTATTCGTCGTAATATCACTTTCAAACATTTATACGAAATAATTGTACAACTTGTAGCACTTTGTCGAGATCGATTAACGGTATATGTATCGAGCGCTAATCCTTTTTTTTTTTCAATTTCGATATAATATTTTAATTTATCGAGATGCCGATGAAATATAAGTGTGCAATGGAATACGAGCGAAAAAAAAATTTCACTTTTAATGATTTAGATTTATCGATCGAGAAATTTTGATAACTTGTCTGTTTCGACTATCGAGCTATCATATTTATTAATTAATTATATCAAAATTATTTTATTCGACACACGAAATTGGCTGAAACTCACTCAAATTAGTCGTAAATTGAATCTTTGAAGCAAGAATACAAGGGGAATGAATCGTTGGACAAAATTTAATTAAAGTCGAGCTAATTTTGTCGCTGGAAAATTGTTGGTTTGTTATTTTTTTTTTTTTTTTTTTTTTTTTTTCTTATTCAACATTTTAAAAAACATGGATAAATACGTTGGTGTTCGTACATGTTTAATAGAACTCGCGTTACATTATAATGGTAATAATATTAGTATGGTAATGATAATTAATGTTAATGTGCCAGCAATGCAAAATACAGATTAATTAATCATCGTCAGCCCTCGTTTCCTCCGGAAATTCAATACCCAAGATGTCCGTGATGAAATATTTGTAAGATATCGTCTGTATTGTAAAATAATAATACATTACTTTCGGCGAGCCTAAATCATTATTTTCCTTTTTTCTGTACCATTACAATGGCAATTTATTCAAGATTTATCTCTCTCTCTCTCT